GTAACAATTAAACTTGTTTCTCAATAAATAAAACATGTCACTGTTCCTGTTAGCCTACCTGACAGATAATTTTATGTTTGTTACCTATCAATACGACAACTTTAGATTTAACAGAGCTTTGAAATAAGCACTGTTATACCAGTCAATACGCACTTATTTTTAATATTTAAAATAGGTTCTTGTAGGTATACATTTCTATTTTTTTCAGGTAAAAGGTCGGCAATCTAGCAGACAGCAGACCTGATGGTAAACTATCAGCGCCGCCCATGCACACCCGAAACGGAGGAGTAACGAGTGCGTTGCCGACCTTTTAGGGATTAGGGATTTGGAGATTTTGGGACTGGGGAGGGATTGGGGAAGGGGAAGGATTGGGCCTCAGGTAACCTCACTCACAGGGCGAAACACAACGCTGTGGTTATTTCACGCCGGTTTTCTGTGAGGCCGTGGTGTCACTTCGGTCGAGCCGACCCATTCGTGCCGAAGCATGGCTCTCCCACACTTAAAATATAATATTTATGTAACTAGAACTACCCCACTTTGAAAATGAACTTTTTTGTACTAACCCTCTTAAACTTGTTAAAACACCTAAAGTAATGGAAATTATTATTTAAGCTTTTTTTTTGCTTACAATGAAAGTATGTAGATATGTACCGCCATTCTTCAAACTCTCTTAACAGTTTGGTGGGTTTGTTAGCACGGTCGCAATGCTAATACTATATTAAAGTTCTCCACTATTTAAAGGACGTTAGTATACACATAAAACTCCCTCTAAACTTTTATCACTCTATCTACTGAAAAACCGCATCAAAATCCGTTGCGTAGTTTTAAAGATTAAAGCATACATAAGAGACAGAGAAAGCGTCTTTGTTTCACACTATGAAATGATAATAAAAGTAAAAAAAAATGCGAAGTGGAATCTCGCCACTGAATTTTGAAGCAGATAATTTCAACCGATTAAGCTCACACTTTGTAAAATATAACATTTGCATGACCAAAAATGCTAAACTGTACCTATGACTTTACGCTAACTTTGTCTTTTGGGGTTTATGGTCCGGGACTTTTAGTCAGGAGAAAATCATCAAATGACCTCTCCCGCCCAGGGTAAAGCGAGAGTGTCAGACTCTTAATGACTAAATACCCCCGTTCCTTCTGATCTGGGCCGAGGCCGCGGTGACTCATTGCGCTTAACCCGCAACCCCGGCTCCAGGACTTACCCACATGCTAATACGTATCTAGTTTAAAAAATATTGTGTCTTCATTATCAGCATTATCATCAGCTGGAAGACGTCCACCGCCGAAAACAGGCATCCCCTTTAATTAGTTCTCCACGTCGAACGACAAAAATATTGTTTCATTCATTTAAATTATTTCTTCGAAAACTATTTAACCTCTTGTTTTAAAACTCATTGGAGGGTAACCCTAGCTTCACTACTCTAAAGATACTGTGATTTTCAAAAAATACCTACATTTTGCATTCCAATGATATTATTTTAAAAGTGTCTGATTGTGGTAAGGGACCTGCAATATAAAACCAAACTATAGTACTTATAAAAAAATCTTTTAGGTTAGTTTAGTACCTACGTACTTAATGGACACTGTCAAATTAAGGGTAACAGATTTTTTATAATACGTAGTTTTAAAACATAATACTTATTACCCTCAAATTATGTATTTGAGGCTTTGCTTATGCATTCTATAAATTGATTCTTTCAAATTGTTGAAGGATTATCAAAGGATTGAAGAATGATCCTACTTAATAAAAATTCGATAGCATAAAATAATTACAAACATAGAAGAGAATATTTTATTTTTGTAGGTCATTGACATTTGGGAACAACAAGGCGGCTAAGGAACAATAAGGATAGAATAAATAAAAATAGAGCTTATTATTACAAACAATGCTAGGTATTAGCTTTCTTGACGTAAATAGGTGTCGGCTACATTATGGACTACGCCAATGAGAAATAGAACAAAGAAAATACCTCTTTTCTGACAAAAGATAGCCTAAATCCACTTTGGCTAATTGGTATTATTAAAACTTATAGGTCATAGGGAATATTTTTGTTTCGGATTTTGTACATCAAAACTACAAGCTTGGAGAAATCAATAACGATTTCTATTTTATAAAATTGCGGGTATTTTGTAAAATCACTTAAAAATAATTCACAGGTTTAAATTGTATAAGGAACTAGCAACGCCATCTATTCAATTGCCTCTGCAACTTTACAATGTTGATTCTAGAATCATCATGGGAGGTTAGGTAGCGTAGTAGTATGTATGCTTGTCAATAGATGGCTCTATTCAAAAAAGACATGTTTTTGGAAATTCTTTCGGCCGATTTTGATAAAAATGTCTGATCTAAAGTACCAAATATGTACTTAGCTTTATCATTATTTTAAGGTGATTATTAAGACTTAATAAAGGGACCGATTGTGTGAAAAATATAAAATTTAATATTTCGCTTGAAGTCGTAGCAGTTTACATGTCGTGGTTGACTACGATGTGGGTTCGGTACGGTGGTACGCGTAGCTACGTGGCGTAGTTCTACAGCGTAGCACTGTGGCGTAGTCATGTAGCGTAGTCCTAGCGGTACTTAATCAACTGGAAGGAGGAAATAATATTTTTTCTTTATTGTTTCATTTAATGCGAGTTTTCACTGATTGATTGGTTCAAAACACAATAAGTCACAAATTTTAGATCTTTATTTATTTACAAAATTGTCAATATAAACATTGTTTTTTTTTTTATTATTTTTAAATTATAATAATTTTACTAAACTTATGTCGGTAAAATATAAAAGAAAGAAATAAAAAATTCAAATAGTTTAAATTTATACAAACTAACTTATCCACATAGTAATTTTTTGCAAATTTTTATATGTACCTAAATAAAAAGTATCGAGCACGAAGCAATTACAAGAGTGTCAAGTAATAATTTATGCTTTTGTTGAATAACCTAAATAATGTTTTTAGATGAGAATATATTTAAGAAGGTTGACAAATAACCACATCGCTTTCGTTTTACCCAGTTATGCTAAAATATAACTTGAAGGTATATATATACTTACTAAATGCAGGTAAGAAAATAATGATTGACTCGAGCAATGGTGTCTTGCCGCCCAACCAAACGCATTCTGCGCGCGCCTTAAAGAGCCATGAGACCACTACAGTTAGGGCCTACTATAACCGTACTACTACTACTATAACTGATGTTAAACCAGGGTTGTGTGAGCAAGAATAATAATGTACCGTGGCTTTAGTTGTTTTAAGTCAGGATAAAAGAAGCCATTAGATAATTTTAAGTGTGGGAGAGCCATGCTTTGGCACGAATGGGTCGGCTCGACCGGAGTGATACTACGGCCTCACAGAGAACCGGCGTGAAATAACCAAAGAGTTGTGTTTCGCCGTGCGAGTGAGGTTACCGGAGGCCCAATCTTTCCCCTACCCCAATCCGTTCCCTTTCCCAAAATCTCCAAATTCCTAATACCTAAAAGGTCGACAAAGCCCTCGTAACTCCTCCGTCGTTGCGGGTGTCCATCTGCGACGCTGATTGCTTACCATCAGGTAATCTGTATGCTCGATTGCTGACCTATCACATAAAAAAAAATACCCCATTATTGTAACACAAAATTATATTGTTTTATTGGATCTTCGCAACCATTGGTCGGTTCAATTGCCAAACAAAGGTTACATTGGCTCTGTATTTAATCAATCTTTGTTTTCTTATCTGCATACCCAATACACACACATACAATGGATTGTACATATAATTCATTTTGAACCTTAGAGTTATCACACCCAAACGCGACGCTGTGAATTCTTTAAAAGAGCGACTCAAAAAACAACCTTATTCCCTTCACGATACGATAAATACCTAATTCATGAGATGTGTAGCGTCTCGGTGTGAATTGTTATTGCTGAAGATAGAAACTTAAATAATAGAACTTAACTGACTCTAGGTGTCGATCTTTCCTAAGTTATTATAAGTATTTAAGACTGTCTATGACTAAAGTAATACAGTTTTTTTTAGAAAATTGTGCTAGATCGATTCTATAAAATTTTCACGGGACTGGGTATTGTGACGTCGTTATTTCTTGAGACTTAGAAAAAATAATACAAATACTAAATGTAAAGTAAAAGTAATGAATAAGCACGATTATTTTGTAATGTACAGTTTAAAGTTTTTTTAAAAAATGGAATTTATCAAATGTAGGAGAGCCAAAGCGTCAAGCTTCGGCACGAATGGGTCGCCCCGACCTGAGTGATACCACGGTCTACAGAGAAGCGGCGTGATCTATCACACGGTCGAGCATCGCCGTGTGATCCTCAATCCTTCTTCCACTCCCCCAATATCTAAAAATTCGAAACCCTAATCCGCAAAAAGGCCGGCAAGGCCGCTAACTCCTCTGGTGTTGCTGGTGTCCGTGGGCAGCGCTAATTGCTTACCATCGAGAATCATCAGACAGCTCGTTTTTTGTCTTCACTGTATAGTACACATCGATCACTAATAAAGAACTTCTTTATTAGTGATCGATGATAGTACAATATAAAACAAAGTCTCTTTCTCAGTCCCAATATTGCTATGTATGCTTAAATCTTTAAAACTACACAACGAATTTTAAAAGCACTTTTTTGAAATTGAATGATTGTAAAAAAATTAAGAGAAAGGTTTAAATTATACATACACATAAATATGTATAAAAACATCCATTAAACAGTGGAGAAATTTAGTATCGGAATTGCACCAGCACGAAGTCTGGGGTGGTCGCTATTATATAAATAGGTCGGTATTACATAAAAAACAAACGATTTGTAACTATACTCTCTTACATATTTAACAGAACCTTTATGGTAGGTTCGGTTTACTGTAACTTAGAAAATAAAATTAACACTTTTTTTTGCCTTATACAAATACTATTTTATAAGCATCACACAAGGAATGGTTCCCATCAACCAGTTACTCTCCTGCTACGCCAACTGAGGAGGTTTTATTTCAATATTTCATATCTTCGAAGAGTACTGTATTGTCTCTGGTAAGTTGTCGCTTAAATATCCACTGCCAGTTGGCACAGTGCTCATGCTTGTCGTAGTGCTCAAAGGTTCAGGGTTCGATTCTTGATCTGTCATCTTTTTCACCCTGTAACAGATAAGATTTTTTTTTTGTGTTAAAACTTTAGTGTGTAACATATTCAGCTTTATTACAATATAAGGTTTTTCTTTTGATCTATTTTTTTTATTTTATACTTCAAATTGAAGGTATGTAAGGATCCAATCCAAACTATAAAACCATAGTTTAAACATAGACTAAAGATAAATATTGTTTTGTAATAAGGGGAATTTAGTTGATTCTCATGTTTAACACGATAGCTGCGCGACATTTGCGACGGCGAGCAGATTGATAACCCCGAGATTCTGGTCAAAAAGAAACATAAGTAAGCCGTTTATTTTGAAACTAATTTCTAGGAAACATTTAACATTTCGGACAGTGTTCGAACTAACATACCAAATTCAAAGTCAAAGTAAATGTCAAAATCATTTATTTCAATTATACCTATACAGGCAATTTTGAACGTCAAACAAAATTTTAAAGATATAAAGTGTCAGTCTGTCAGTCAGTCCTCTTAGTGAAGCTATAAGCTAATTGTTGGGTTACACCCCCAATAGTTGCATAGAACCCATGGCCCACTGGCCTTAACTTAAAGGCTAAAAACATACAACACTACATTACAAAGAAAATATAATATTTTTCTATTTGGTCACTTACTTAGATTTCAAGCACAAACTCAATAAATTGTTGGCGGGAGCCTCGGCCAGCAAGAAGATTACAAGCGCAGCGAGGCATCCGAAGAAAATCACTCCTATTGTTGTATTCAGCTGAAAACAATAAAGAAATGGTTTTAACTTAAGTTCATGTAGTTGCATACAATGTACTTAGTTGAAAACAAGCCGGTGTTCCACAACTTTATTTCCGTAGTTTCCAACTAAGTATCTAATCAAATTCAATACTTTTGAAAAGTTTGAAATATCTAAAACGATACTTTTCTATGAAATTTTGTATGAGATCATAAAAAGAAAGAGCAAACATGTTTTTTAAAAGTTAGAAGAAATCTAAAATTACGTAGGTATCTTCATAGTTAAATCAATGAATTAAAATATGATTACCTACCTATATTTTAATAATTCATTGTACAACTCAACACAATTTATTTTTGACTTAGGAAACTACCCAATTTTGAAATAGAACTATGTTTTATTACAAAATTTTGTGGTTTTCTTACGTGTCCAAGTAACAAACACTTGAACATATGACTTGAAGCTAGTAGAGATTTTCTCAATTAATTAACGTCAGTAAGTATTAGTAGTTATTTTCATTAAATGTAGGAGTTAAGGACGCAATTAACTTAACCAATAGCCCCTGGCATCAAACCATTTAAGAAGGATACTTAGTACTGGACTTACGATTTCGAAGTAATCATTATGCTGAGGGTTTCTTGTGATGAAGACGTTCCTTGCGATCAGCATTGCGTGTGTCAGGAACAGGCCGTAGGAGAGTCTGCTTAGAGGCACCCAGGGGTACCAGCTCAGGAATGATTTTATAAGTGCTGGAATTGCAAAAATATTTGGTTAATACAGAGTAAGCAAGTTCGTTACGAATTTATTTACGCACTCACACAAAGCAGCCTGAATGGTGGACTTAATGCCTTAAGGCATTCTCTAACAGTCAACCATAGGGTAGTGCAGAGAAACCATGTGGTTGCATATAATTATGTTCGCATTTACAACTTTGTGTCTTTAAGATAAAGTCGATCAATCAATCGAAAATATTACTGCTTGGAGTTGGTTAACGTGTTGGTGTTAGCCTAAGAACTCACGGAGCGATTTTGAACCGTGCCCGCCGCGGTAGCGGAACAGCGGTTTTATTTCCAAACTCACGAGACCGGTTATTTGCGCGGTTACACAGCCGCCGCGGTTGCGATCATCACCCGCAAACGTGGCGGGCGATGATCGCAAGATTGCAAGACGGCCGGTTAACGATCAGTTGAGGTCCAGACCGCCATGGACACACACCAGAAACGAGCCGTTGCGTTAAATTTACTTCACAGAAGACCCGCCTGTCCCCGCGGTCGCTCGCCAACCGATCGCAAAGCGCGCGAGTGCCACCCGCCGAAGCTGCGGGTAACCGCGGCCCGCGCGATTCTACTAGTTGCCCGCCGGTACAGCGGGAGCCGCATACAACCGCGTACACCGCGGGCGTAAAACGCGTCGTGAAATGTGCTTTAATTTTTTATATATGACGGAACGTCCCCTGTTGTCAGGTTGACATGTGCATTCCTATTATCATCCATCGTTGCAGAATTCAAAAATAAGGCTCCAGATAAATGTACAGCACACGTATATTCAATTACCAATCTTAAATTATTTAAATAACAAGTCACACCGCAGATCTAATCGGATTGACAGGTTCTTCAGCTTAGCATTCGAAAGTGACCGTCCATAGATGCGCGAACGAACGCACCCATCATCGCTGAATGATTGAGTAGTGAGTGAAGTCGCTGTCATACCGACAGTTACTATAATACTACTCTGAATAAAACCTTACAGGGCCATCTATTTTGAATACTTATAAACTAAAATTAGTTCAACGTGTTGTTAAGAGATGACGTAGTGAGCGTTTTGTTATACTGCGACATATAAATATTTGAATTCTACAGAAGCTGCGGGCCCGCAACCGCAGCGGACGCGGGCGAAAATCGCTCCGTGAGTTCTTAGCCTTAGTCGACAAAAAAGGTCTTAATTTATATACCCAGGGTAGCGAAAATATTTTTTTTTATTGTAAGGTTTGCTCTTCTGCTCTCCCCTCTCCTGTGTAGGCTCCTCTTGATTGCTTGTTACTTCACAAGCAAACATATATTATCATGAATGACTATCGAAATATATTAAACTAGCTAGTCTCCTGTCTCCCTGTCTCCTAGTCTCTCCTCTCCTAGATTTAAGTTGTTATTTTTTTCGAACTGTTTTTATTTTGTATGATATCTGTGTACTACCTTTTTTGTATTTTTTGATTTGTAATCGTTAGCTTGGCAAAATAAGAATATAACCATACAACTAGCGACATCTAACATTACTTACGGACATGTCCAAGTGAGCAGCACAGTACTAGCAGCCCTACACCGAGAGCCCAGGCCGGTCTGTTCAGTGCAGCGTACACGGCGCCCTCTAGCGGATGATAACTGCGCCAAAGGTACGAGCTACCAAGTACCATCACCACCAACATTAGCGTTAAAGCAGCGATTGCGCCAAGAACCGACCATTTCTGGAAAAATGTAAATGAAAATAAATGGTTTAATTTTTTTAATTAAAATTTTGAAGAAATATTTAAATATTGTAGGTAATTTTAAATCAGCTAGCAGCATACATGAATAAGGTCACTTTTATTTAATCATTTTAACCCACTAATAGACAAAAATCACACTAATAATTTGAAAATAGATGTAGGTACAATTTAGACCCAGTAGTTCCAAAGATAAGCATGTTTAAACAATCAAACAAATAAACTGCAGCTCTATAATATTAGTAGGTATACATAAATTTGATAACTTACAATAAACGATAATAAAATGAGGTTTGATGCACACAAAATTTAGGTTAAAATGTTGTGTTTGCTTACCTTACTCATCTTGTCCAAATTTCCTTTACTGCTGTACTTGACAAACACATACCCGGTGTAAAAGCCGACCAGGTAAGAGGCGAATCGTGTGTGGCTCGGGATGTAAGTCAACTTGAAGTCCTTACTGCCACGAGGGTTCATAATGAAACTAAAGAAAAAAATAAAATTAAATATTAAGATATAAGATATTTATTTAGTAAAACATGATAAGTGTGGGAGAGCCATGCTTCGGCACGAATGGGTCGGCTCGACCGGAGTGATACCACGGCCTCACAGAAGACCGACGTGAAACAACCACAGCGTTGTGTTTCGCCGTGTGAGTGAGGTTACCGGAGGCCCAATCCTTCCCCGCCCCCAATCCCTCCTCAATCCCTAAATCTCCAAATCTCTAATCACTAAAAGGTCGGAAACGCACTCGTAACTACTCCGTTGCGGGTGACCATGGGCGGCGCTGATTGCTTACCATCAGGTAATCCGTCTGCTCGTTTACCGACCAATTACATAAAAAAAAAAATAGTTGCAAAGAATATACTTTGATATTGCAGGATCTACATGTTTTGCCATTTATGGCTTACGAAATTAGTCACATTAGGCAGACAATACCACCGCAGCTTCGGATCCGACGGGTCTAAACGCCCGAGTGTCGTCATTGTGAGGACCACCCAGAGGATACCTACGGTTGAGCATACGGTGGCGATGTGTCTTGCTTGAGCTAAGCACCGCCATGTCCTCAAGAAATTTATCGGCGGTGGCGACTTGTCGCGTCCGGCCTTAGTCAAGGCCATGGTGCGGAGCGAGAGGAATTCGGAAGCCATCTCTTCTTTTTGGGATACAATGATCGTAAAGGAGGAGGTGGAGCGCGTGACGGATCTATCTTCCGTACGCCCCAGCCGCCGCAGTAGGCGACACCCAGGGCGTCAGGGATCGAGGGACGATCTTCAGCCACTATAGCCGCAGATCTGCGGTCGGCGAGCAAGGTTAGCTTGCCGCCTGACCAGGAACCAGCCTGACCAGGAACCAGCCTGAGAGTATGCGGCGCGTAGCTTTCGCGACACCGGTCTAAATAAATACTTTCTTAGAATTAATCGCAAAATGTATTGGTTAGCGCATATATAGCGGAACAACGCCTCGACCAAAGTCGCTAACTCATTTTTGTTGTTTGTAATTGTCAGGCCAAGGTTGTTACGAAATAACATTTCAGAGAAGTAAAAGGAGAAATTGAAAAATCAGAGACATTTTCTTCATTAGAGAGGTCCAATTACCCAAACAAACTTGTAAGAAGAAAGAAGACTTAGAGAAGAAGCAGGGGTGCTTGTTTTTTATGTCATGGGTCGGCAAACGAGCAGACGAATTTACCTGATGGAAAGCGCTCAGCGCCGCCCCGGAGACACTCGCAATACCAAAGGAGTTACAACAAGTGCGTTGCCGACCGCTTGTGGGTTATTAGGATTTAAGGATAGAACATTTGTGAGAATTGGGTAGTTTCCTAGGTCAAAAATAAATTAATTCGACGTTTCAATACAATAAAATATTTAAAAATAACTATACTTTTATTAATCGATCGATCGATACGCTAAGTTTTAGATATTTTGTAGCTCCGTGTTTTGTAGCTAATTACTAAGAAATAAGTAAGCTATTTGACGCAAAAATACTATGACGTCATAACTCAGTTTTTCATACAAATTTCATAGAAAAGTATCGTTTTTGACATTTCGATAAAAGTATTGAATTTGACTAGTTGGAAACTACCGTATTGGGCGGAGTGGGGGGGGGGGTCTGGGCTCCTGGGTCCTACGGTAACCTCACTCACACCGCAAAACACAAGGTAGGTATGGTTTCAAGCCGGTTTCCTGTGAGGACGTAGCATCAGTGGAACCGACCCATTCGTGCCGAACATGGCGCTCCCACATTTAAGTTATAGTATTTATATTATAAACATCCTTAAATATTTATTGCAGAACCTAAACAGTGATGTATGCGGTTAGTAAATGTTAAAACAACATTAAAAACTGCACGGTTGGCGCGGTGGCTGGGCAACACTGGCAACCGCGCAACATGTCGTGGGTTCGATTCCCGAACGAAAAACTCTTTGTGTGATCCACAAATTGTTGTTCCGGGTCAAGGTGTGATGTGTATGTGGAATTGTATGTTTGTATATTGTCACAGGAGAACAACCTAGTGTGAGGCAACGTTTTTTTTAAATGACAAACAGTAAAGAATTATTACAATCATTTTATTAACTCATCCATGAGTAATTGTTGACAGGAAGGCTGCTCGCTACTATAAGGTGATTGTAATACAGTAAATTGATTAATAGTTTACGACCCTATTCATAAGAACAATGGTAGAGGAAATCCTCCGTGACGAAACCTCTAATCGTTTGATGAGTAACATTAATGTTTGTTCAAGTATGTGTATATGTACTTAGATGTTGGAAAATTATTGAAAAATACTATTTTTCTTAGAACTATCTACATACCTACGTACTACGTACCTATTGTTTATTAAGGTTTTGTTTCGCCGATCAGAATTTGTGACGTGATTCATAGTTGTGATGAGGTATGGCAATGACATGAAGTAAATGGTTTTTTTTAAAGAAAGACATTATAGTGTATATACATATATATATATATATATATATATATATATATATAATGACATAATTATGAAGTGCGTAAGGAGTTTTTACTTTGTAGTGATTACTAAGTATAAAACTTTTTAACTGTTGCTTTCTTCGACACAAATTACGGTTTCAAAATTTAACTTTTTTATTTTTTTCACCCCGAAACTAATTGTGCATTATGATCAAAATATTCACTTATCAAAATCAATATAAATCGCTTTGCAAAAATATATTCGAAAACCTAAATCGTCATTAAACCTATAAATTTTCATTGGACAAACTTCTAACAAGTCGAAATTATTATTAATAGCCGAGCAATTAACGAGTTTTACTTCATCATTTTTGGATGTGTCTACTTAACTTTCAAAGAATACATATATAAATACTCTCACTAAAGAGAAATAAAAGTAAGGAGAGAAAAATAATACTCTATAGCTAATGAATATTTTAATAGCAAGTATCGCGAGAAATACGTACTTCATTTTTTGAAAAATAACGAACTTTTTACGTGACTAAGCTGAGAAAAGTTCAACTAGTTTCAAGTTACAAAGGGACTCTTATTGATGAGCAGAACGAGAGTTGCGATGTGGTGTCAATTTTCATTCTTATTCCAAAGATTTAAAGTTTATGTAGATTTTGTTATGATGGATTGTTTTTAGCCAATATTCACCAGCGTTGTTGTAGCTACCCAACAATTAAGATTTTCTTAAATCGATCAAGTAGCTTAAGAGCACATTCAATTCAAACAAACAAATCTTATCCCATTATAACTCTAATATACAAGAATTAATGAATAATTTCCCATGCAAGAGGTTGCGGGTTCGAAACCTAGCCAATAGTAATGTGAGTAATTCCGAGTTATATATGTATACTTTCAATGATTACTTAGACACCACTGACACACGGTGAAGAAAAACATTGAGGAAACTTGGACTTATAATTTCAAATTGTAAATTGGAAATGGCAAATCCGCCTTAAGCATGAGTGGTGATTAATGCTCAAACCTTCTCCGTGAAGCATTTGGTCAGCCGTGGGCACGTATGAGCTGATAATGATGATGATGATAAATGCATAATTTAGAATGGGTTCAAGTATTAAATTCAGTCGTAGATCTTTCAGAATGCTAGCTTCGCTACGGGTCAGAAAGTAGGGTTACGAGGTCAGTGTTGTGTAAACAACTTTAATCACACATAGATTACGGTTTATATTAATAAATCGTAATAATGAAGCGCAATAGCAATTAACAGTTAATTAAACGCTGAGCAAAGTATATAATAGCACGAGACACGCAAGGTGTAGGAAAATACCTATCTAAAGTTTTTTTTATGTGATAGGACGTCAAACGATCAGACGGATTACCTGATGGTAAACAATCAGCTCCGCCCATGGACACCCTCAATGGAGTAGTTATGAGTGCGTTCCCTACCTTTTGGAGATTAGGGTTTTAAAGTTGTAGGGACTGGGAAGGGGAAGGATTGGGTCTCCGGTAAAGTGATTCACACGGCGAAACACAACGCTGTGGTTGTTTCAAGCTGGTTTTCTGTGACTGTGCGTTTTCATGTTTATAATAAATAACGTATTAATAAACATAATTTGTTCTTTAGTTTGTACTGTAAATTTTTTTGAGATATGTTTAAATTTATTGAAAATTTACATAAATCAAAAGAAGACTAACCTCTTTTTTCATTTCTTCTTATAGTAGTCAGTTGTGCAAATGTCCTATTTTCTAGTCTACTCTCAAAAATATATATATTTTTTAAGACCGTTTGACTGATGTGCCTTAGATCATCATGCGGTGGTGTTCTTGTACACGACTTAATAGAGGTACTTTTCAATATATATTTTTTAGAATCGTAATACGCTACATTCATGAAGAAAAAAATATTATTCATGAATGTAAATATGTATTTATTTTTTAATAATAATTATTTTTAGTAATATGTTCCTATTAAAATAATTAACTTTCGTAATACTCATTTTTAAATTCATTAATGCGACTATTTATTTATTATTATTTTCAAAAGTACCTAAGTATATGCAATGGTAATTTTAATTCAAGCAATTATTTTTAATTTGCGTAATTTACTTATTCAGTTCTCGTAATGAGGACGTTATGCAAAATAAGTAATTATACTTACTCAAAGGTGAAGAGTTGAACTGCAGACAGTTCGTTAATATAGTTGACTACGCCTGGTACTATGAGAGATGCTGCCGTCAATAGGGCTGCAATGGTGATCCCTAACTTCGGCCATGTTCGGTAGATGCAGTACACCAGGATGGTCACAACGAAGAAATGGAAGTCACAGGGAATGTACCATGACGGTATTATGCACTGAAACAAAATACGTTACCATTTAAATAGATAGTTAGTAATCGTAAAATCCATTGATAAGAGAAATATCAATGTTTAAATAATAATAAGGGATAAAAGTTTGGCGTTCCATTGTCACTGCCTCTTCCAATAGGAGATGGGCGTGGCCGCAGTTCGGTAGGTAATACTTAGGTTACTTAGAGTAAACATAAGCAATTATCGCACTTACAAATTTAAGCGTATTTTTAAAATCGAACATTAACATTTCAATATAGTGACAATATACTGATGCACTTTGGACTCGCTATTGTAATCTTAGATACGAGCCCATCAAAGAAAACATTTGAAAATCTAGACTCCGTTTTTAAATATGAATTTTCTTTTCATTATGCACTAGCTTTGCTCTGCAGTTCAATCTTCTTTAGAGGTTATAATACCTATTAGTAGGACGAAATACCGTGATCATCTGTAGTACAAAACTATCTGGTTTTATAGATATTTTTTTTTTACTTTACAATTTAAAACAATAGGAAATTCAAAGGTACTTACAAGACTCTCCGGGTCGATGTAATTGTTGAGCATGAGGAGGTTCAGCCACCAGTTCTTGCGGCAATGCGATGTGTCGTATGCGATGGCCCTGTTCCATAGTGGTCCAGTCCCGGTGTAAGGGTGCACAGCACAGATGTAGAAAATGACCACTGCTAGAGCCACCACCAATCTGTTCGGATTAAAGAAATGTATGTGAAGCATTTTTGCATGGGATAGGGCGGTAAACTATCATATGATATGAACAATCTGATGGGTATGGACAGCATATAGTTACAAGCTCATTATTGGCTGTGTTTTTTTTTTTTGTGAGGGGAAAATCATCAAATGACTTCTCCCGCCCAGGGCCGGGCAGGAGGGAGTGTCAGACTCTTACTGACTAAAACCCCCCTGTTCCTTCTCCTGCTCTGTGCCGAGGTCGCGGTGCCTCATTGCGCTTACCCCGCAAACCCGGATTATTGGCTGTGTTAGGTCAGGTTTTCAAGAGCCAAGGGACGAATGGGTGAGCTCGGCCGGAGTGCTCACAGAAAACCGGCGTGAACCAACCACAGCGTGGTGTTTCGCCGTGTACGTGAGGTTACCGGAGCCCCAATTTCTCCCCCTCTCCCCATCCCTTCCCAATCCTTAAATATCCAAAGCTTTTGTCCACAAAAAGCCGGCAAAGCCCTCGTAACTCTTTTGGTGTTGCGGGTATCCATGGGCGGCGCCATTTTCTGAATTGCATTGATTGGTAATCCGTCTGCTCGTTTGTCGAGTCATCAAATAAAATGAAAAATGTTAGGTACATTGAATACCAACAAGGTTGGCACATCATATCACATCACATGCAGGGCAAGCATAATAAGATATTAAGGCGTCGACCAAGAGCAGAAGGGGTTTTAGTCAGTAAGAGTCCGACACCCCCTTTCGCATCTCCTCGGGCGGGCACAGCCATATAATGCTTTGCACCTCACCAAAAAAATGGTCTGCAGATCATTAAAAGTTAAGAAAAATGGCATGGTTGATTTGAAAATAGCTTAGCTCGAATGTTCCGTTGCCTCCAACAACAATAATAATTGCAAGGATACTTTGTGCGTTCAATATTGCGAAACAAATCACAATAATTAACTATACAATGGCCTTCAAGCCCTAGGCAGCTATTTACATCACTTTTATAGCATCACTATGTATGCAACAATCAGCTGATTGCGCATTGGCTGAATGAGAGACAGCTGTGCTTGTGTCGTGGGTTGGTTTCAAAAAAACGGATCTCTGCGTGCGATTTTTAGATTTTTGTTCCGGGTCTGGGTGTAATTTGTAAACGCACCCACTAAATATCGAGAAACGATCTTCGGCCAGCGTAAGCGCGGGTTTGCGGACGGCGACTAAGAGTGACTTAACGCTCGACCAGAACCAGACCCGAGTGGACGGCGCGTAGCGTTCCGCGCGCGCATCAAAGAGCTTAGAGACTACCACAGACTGGACCCTATAGGGCTGATGTTCAGCCGGGGCTGCGGGGTAAGCGCAATGAGGCACCGCGGCCTCGGTCTAGAGCAGGAGAAGGAACGGGGGGAAGAGTCTGATACTCCCCCCTTCCGAGAAGTTATTTGATGATTTTCCCCTTACAAAAAAAAAACCCACTAAATATAAGAATATCATCGTGTGAGGTATTATTAAAAGGAATTCGTAATATCAAATTTGTATTATTACAAAAGCTTAGCGATAAAGATATCAATGTATATATATCTTTTTTTTTAATTTATACTTAGAATTTATATCAGAAAAAATCCTTGGAAATTAAGTCCTTGACAACCTTCAATTAAATACTTTTTCAAATTCTCAAAATAGCCTTCAATGATTTTTTTTACAGGATCGAGTATTATGACGTTATGGTTTTTGCGTCATTGGAAATTAGCTAGAATAATACTAAATTATGCATCGTAATACAACTTCAAGTGTGATTTTTTGAACTTGAACATAACATGTACTGCAATGGCGCCTCACACTGCTTCTTCATCGATATTGTGTTCACCAACACACTAGTTTGTCTTGTTTCTAATAAATTAATTAGAAAAAAATAAATAAAACGAAAACTTTGTTACCTATCTTTAAATCCAATAATGGATTTATCGACCGGTTGAGCTATTTTTTTACAATAATATTTTGCATATTTCACCTCATTTTATGCATCGATTAGAAATGATTTTATGTAGATAAATAGTAACGGGCCTTTACAAAAGCTCGAGTGACGACTGAAAGACTTGTGGGAATGGCTCCCGATAGGTGGACTGACACATGGTCTAGTCAAAATGGCGGAGAGCCATTGGATGTTGAAGCCACTGGCCATATACCTATATATTACTGGCTTATTATAGCAGAGGTGGATGACGTGGAGCGCCCGAAGCAAGCGCTTCTTAGGCGTAGTTATTTTTTTTCCGATCTTCGCCCGCCGCCTACACACACGGACGCCCCTTCGAAACCAGGCACCGTAGACACTTACCTAGTTTGCTTAAAGGATAATACTGCTCTGAGTACAACCATCACCACAGAAGGTTGACTAAATGTTAAGCTGATGATGGCGTTTAAAAACATACAATTTCACATACGCATCACACCCAGACCCGCAACAAAAATTTGTGGAACACACAAAGAGTTGTTCAGCGCGTTCCGCGTCACGTTGCGCGGCAGCTAGTAGCCCAGACACCGCGCCAACCGTACCAATGAATGGAATGTTATAGAATCTTAGAATAAAGAGTCTTACCGTGATATACTTAAATGTTATATTCATTTTACTCACCTTACATATCTCTTCAGAATAAAAAACAGTGGATTTGGAAGTCTATTAAGTTTCACCAAGTTCGTGATAGTTAGGAACCCAGATAATAGAAAGAAGGTGTCCACAAAAAGATCGTCGTGGAGTATCAGCATGCCCAACGTTGTTTTATTTACCTCCTGTTGAAATAATTATAATTAGATCTATTAATTATTTTTATTCTTAAAGCAAACGTAAGTAAATTTTATTTTGTAATTGAAAATAAAATGTTAACATCTTATAGTGACAGGTAATTCAGGGTGATTGCTTCAATAACAGATGCGATGGTCGTTCAAAGACAAACAGTCAGACTCGTCATCAAAATAATTTTCTTAAAATACGCCATAACTTAAATGTCAACTATCAATTGAAAGCTCTTCTAAAAACGATTAAACTGGTCAGAGCAACGAGAAATCATTAGAAAAGTCGTTGTTAAGAGCTCCATTTGAGCTCGAAAATAGGAGTGAGGCATATTTATCGTAACAGATAAAAGTAACAGATGCTTATTTTATCTGTTATTTTAATAACAGGCAAACGGCACTATTACTGGAGTTATTACTGTTATTCATTATACCAGTTCGTTCGTTAGATATGTACATGTTAATATTCATTTTCTCTTTTCCTCATTAAAGAACGATTTTTGCTAAAAAGAGACACACTTATTATTTATTTCGAAATATGGAATTGTTACTTATTGTTTATTAGATTTCCAATTTAAAATAAGAATTAAGAACGAAGATATTCAATTGAAATTGTTCAAAAAGAACAGGCTATTATTTAATAACAGATATTTAGATTTGTTATTTTTATGTAACAGTAATAGTGATAACAGATATCGTGTTTCACCTGTTACAACCCATCTCTACTCGAAAACCTTTGGGCATACCCGTAATACAATAGCCTGCGACTAACCGTATTAAAGTTTTTTTTTTTACTTTCTTGGTGTAATGTTTCGTATCATACCTCATCAGAACTAAGCCCATCACTAATAGGTCCAGCGTTATATATTCCGATCTGATGATCCATCACTATCAGACAGATTGTAAGGAATCGGATGCCGTAGAAAACTTCCACTCCTTCCTTCTTCATTCGAAGAAGATCTAAAGCGTTCTCTCTTAAACAGAATGCGTTTATGAAGTCAGGTTCTGAAAATAAAAACAATGTGAATAAAATATTTTTGGCTATAGAAGACAATATTGTTTTAGAAAAAGAATGAGAAAAGTGTTATAGTTTTGTGGCGTAACGAAGATATTCTACAGATGGCGTAAAACGTCTTACATTACGGATGTAATAAATACAAGGATAGAAAATTCCAACCTACAGCGCCTGGCCGGAGGATCCTCCTTTTTCGATCTTAGGGAACTAAGATCGAAATCCGGCTCGACCGGAGTGATACCACGGCCTCACAGAAAACCGGCGTGAAATAACCACTGCGTTGTGTTTCGCCGTGTGAGTGAGGTTACCGGAGGCCCAATCCTTCTCCTTTCCCAATCCCTCCTCAATCCCTAAATCTCCAAATCCCTAATCCCTAAAAGGTCGGCAACGCACTCGTAACTCCTCCGTTGCGAGTGTCCATGGGCGGCGCTGATTGCTTACCATCAGGTAATCCGTCTGCTCGTTTGCCGACCTGTTACATAAAAAAATAGAAAATATCGACCTGTAACTGTTGGGCAGTATCCCGCTAGGCTGATCACCTCACCTGGCCGGAGGACCCTCCTTTTTCGATCTTAGGGAACTATACTTTCTGTTTGTTAAAGTTTCTAACGAAATCTGACAGAGAATTGAGAACCTAAATTGTAGTTATACATAGTTGTTTATGAGTAAAGACAAAGGGGTTTTTGTATTTCTAGCACAATACAAAGTGGAACATTTAAGTATTATAAATAGTTGAATAAAAAAAACATAGCCAATAATTAATTTTACCTCTGGAATCTGAGTCTACTGATGAGTCTAATTTTCTTCTCCGGTAGTTCAAGTATGTGCAAACCAGAACAATTGTCGTAACTGAGCCCATGGCGACGCTAAAATAAAACAAGTTTAAATGAAAAAAAAAAGATCTTAAAATTAAATTGCCCCACTATGGTTACCTCGTGTGTCGTGGGTAAAGTTACAAACATGAAATTTCACATACACATCAGGACCAGACCCTTTGGCTGCGCGACGTCGCCGCAGAGTCCCGTTGTGAGTTGTAAGTAGTAAAGCTTTTCTGACTGACTGACTGACTGACTGACTGACTGACTGACTGACTGACTGACTGACTGACTGACTTCGAGTTACGTGAATACACTGATTCACGTAAGTGGGTATTTTTAATAAATTAGAACCGAATCCAAAATAAAATATCAGGAAACGATATCCGAAACAGGTTGCAAGGCAGCTGGTTGCTCAACCCTCGCACTAACCGTGTAGCCAGCCAGTTTTATTAATCCTTTTAACACATAACTCATCATTAAACTCTAAAGATCTCAGCTCGGCATCAATCTTTTAGAAGCCTGCACTTTTGAAACTGCTTATCATCAACATTACAACACACAGTAAGAAACCGACTGAATTTTTAGAATAATTACTTACAAAAACGCATAGAACAATGCATCATATTCCAGTTCATCTTCAGCGCTTTGACAGGGTTCGTCGACACTGATGTCGGCTTTGATGCCGGCAGCACCAAGATGGCTGCGAGCTAGCATTATGCCGAGTAGTCGTTCCACAGTCCTTGGCTCGCATGATGAAGGGACACAGGCACCCCATGTCAGCTCGTTCAGGGGACGAGAGTGGGGTACATGGTACTAGGGTTAGCAAAAAATTGAGGGATAAAACAAATTTTCTACATTTTGTAAAGCGCATGTGTAACCTTACCTAACCTTAATCTCTTCCAAAATCAAAACCTGTTTCTGTGTGTGTGTGTGTGTGTGTGTGTGTGTGTGTGTGTGTGTGTGTGTAATATCTACTTAATACGCAAAAATCGATCAATTCATTCTTGAAAAGTATTTAAACCTTTTCAAAACTAATTTTGAATATGGAACATTTAAGATTAAAAAGTATTTTTATTCTATTAATCTATACCTTTTTTTTTTAAATATCAATTAATCGCAAAATTTGTTGGTAAGCGTATAACTTAACAAATTACTAGATCAGTTTTACCAATTCTATTTTTGTTGTTGTGTTCATTATTGTCAGGAGAAGGTTCTAATGAAAGAAAATTTTAGTAAAGTGGCGGGAGCATTGGTTCTTAATTGCTTATGGGAACATAGTTGAATAGGCGGGTAGCAAGCGTTTGATACAAAAATCCACATGCATAAACTCTCTGAAAATTGTTTTTTTTTCGTAATAGGCAGACATTTGGCCGCTATCACGATAATGCAACCTATGATGGAGCATGCCTATCCATAAGCAACCTATTCACTCGGGCCTTGAAGACACCAGGTTATACCCTTCGGGGAATACAGACTCTGGCAAAGCATTCCAGTCCTTAGGTTTTCCAATCAAAGTACTGCGAACTGTTTAAAGAGTTTTTTTTTCTTCCCTTCTAATTTTTTTTTGTCGTGTAGGCTGGTATTAGCTTTAACACTGTTTTTTGTGTTCATATTTTAGTATTGCGTGACGCAATCTTGGCCGACTGTGTTATTTTATTGTTCACTAATTTCTATAAACCAACATGCGATATTAGCATATCTAGTCGAATAAATTGCCGTGTGACATAAATTGCTAACTTCGTTTTTATAAAATACAATATTTTTAAAATGTACTCAGTCGTACCTACTTGTAATAGAACTCAGTTCTCTGGGTACTTCAGTTGCTTAAACTATTTAGAAATGAACCTTTCCTATGTATTTTTTTTATTAAATCGGCACCACCACCACCGGTGATTTGCCGGCTTTTTGGGGATTAACGTTTCGGAGATTTAGGGATAGGGGCACGGAAAGGATTGTTTCCTTAGGATCAGTTTTCTATGAGGCCGTATCACTTCGGTCGAGCCGGACCATTTGTGACAAATCTTGGCTTTCCCACACTTTTTTATAGGTGTAATCAAAATAGTAATAGGCTAATTACCGATTTTAGTTCGGCGTTGAATTCAAAATTTACTATATATACGTAAAAAATTACGCTATTTTCAAATATTATTTCGGTAACACGGGAAGCCCTCGCTTTAAAAAACCTGCAAAACTTTTATTACATTCTTCCCTTAGCGGGACCATACTAATAGGGTCCCGGACCTTTGGAAGACGTACGGGGTGCCAAAGCCAACTCTAAGCCTGTTGAGCAATTTTAATCTAAATGTGATGGCACATCACCTGGCCATCGGGGTTGTGGGGTAAGCGCAATGAGGTACCGCGACCTCGGCCCAGAGCAGCTGAAGGAACAGGGGGGTTTTTACCCAGTAAGAGTCTGAGACTCCCTCCCGCCCTGCCCTGGGCGGGAAAAGTCATTTGATGATTTTCCCTTGACAAAAAAAAATCTGGCCATTATCCTTTATATGACTATGGAAATGCACCCAAGGACAGTCATCGATTGATGCAGAAATCTTTATAACATTATTATTAAGAGAAATTGAATAGCAAATATATATTTTGCTGCTAACACTATGTATGTCATGTCATAATTATTATTTTAGTTCACTTGCACTCAACTTAGTGACAAAAACCGCCAAAAAAAAAAAGTCTGCTACTGGCTTTATAGGTACTTAAAATAGTTTGTATTCTAACCAAAATTAAAAAAACAATCTAATTACAAAAGCCGACTCATGATATTAGTTTTATGTGTTTCTGGAAAACCAAAATCGATGTATAGATTTATGAATAAGATATTTTTTATACGAGTAATTAAGTATAATTATTAGTTATTTTTCTTACCTCAATATAATCCAATGCAGATTGATAGGGATACGTAGGTCGGTCTACTCGTCTTCTCACCGCCTTATCCGTTCTTTCCAGGCGTATCTCAGCAAGGCAGTATTTGGTCTTTAGCTCCGGATGGGTCTTCGACCAGGGTGCGTTCATGCACTGGTCGAAATTACCAAGTTGGTAGCGGTTACCAAATAAAAGACCTTGTGGTTCCGATGCTTGAGCGTCCCATTCTATATGAAAAAGAAAAGGTAATTCAATTGTTTTTCATATTGGTCGTTGGTTCTGGGAGCAGTCAGACGGGAATGCCAATTTAGGGTTATTAAAAAAAATTACTGAAACAGCCGCACATTTATCGAATACCAGCTTCTTTCGGGCGGTTTCACTTGCTGCTCGGCTCCTACAAATCGTTGCGTGATGTTTTGTAGCCTAAAGCCTTCGTGGATAAATGTACTAACAAACACAAAAAAATATTCAATAAGATTAGCGTATTCAAACTAACAAACAAACTCTTCAGCTTTGTAAGTAGATAATATAAAAAAATATATTAATATTTGTATTATGTATAAGGACTCCAAAACGTACGGATCAAATCTTTTGTTGACTTTATTGTTGATTATTGCGAGAACCAAGTTTTTATGAAAACCTCGCGATGCAGAGCAGGCCGCTTTAAGTAGGTGCGAATAAAATAAATTAAAATACTGACTTTAGCTGATCTAATATTTTGTTACTTTTTTTGCTTATTTATAAACAATAGAGGTAAACAGAAAACAAAACAAAAAAAACACATTCTGACCACATAAGCTTCAATGGAGGACGATTTTTTCATGTCTATGTAGTACACGTACCTATATGGTTTATCCAAATCCAAACTAATGTTATAAATGCGAAAGTAAGTAAAGTCTGTTTGCCTGTCTGTCTTTTCTTCACGCCTAACTGACACAAACTACTGAACCGATTTGTGTGATATTTGGTGCGGACATAGTTTGGAACTCGAGAAAGGACATAGGATACCTACTGTTTTTATCCTGAAAATCCGAAGATAGGAAACTATGTGATTAAAACTAAAAATTTGGAGGAAGTAATTATTCGACGCAAACAAAGTCGCGAGCATAAGCTAGTTTGAAATAAGTATTATGAACTTTACTTTTGATTAGTCATGTTTTAATACTAATATGGGAAAGTGCTTCCTTTCTCTTAATTTTTTGGGTTAAGAGCTTTTATTTTTGCTACAATAGGTATCAGAACTATTTTCCATGTTACTGGACAATTATTACTTACACATTTATTCCCGGTTAAAATGCTTTTTTTTCATACAATAATATCAGTCGTACTATTTTTTTAATTATATTAAAAATAATTTTCTATTTACATAGTCATAGTCATACACCTAATGTAAAAAATAAACACTTACGCTTCACTATGTATTATAAAACAAAGTCGCTTTATCTGTCCCTATATCGCTATGTATGCTTAAATCTTTAAAACTGCACAATGGATTTTGATGTGTTTTTTTTTAAATAGTGATATAGTCATTAAATATGAAGTTTTATATGTATAATAATTCTCCTTTAAATAGTGGAGTTTAGTATCAGCATTGTATCCGTGCGAAGCCAGAGCAGAGGGCCTACGAGAAAGAGGGATGGAGCTACAAAAGGTTTATAGCTCCATCCCTGTTTCTCGCCCGGAAGATTCACGCTTTAACACTTCATGGGAAGCCCACAGTTTGCTAGTAGAAAACTAACCATTTTTGAACTTTATTACGGAATATATAAATGCGAAATTACGTTTTGTGTCATATTTTTAGAGTTGCATTTTTACAAAATGTTACAAAAATAGTTTATTATATATTGACAGTGACATACATAACACATATAAAATCGGAAAACATTATAGGGAATGTTTAATTACAAGTTTGAAATAGCCAATCCGTCTTTAATAATCCTCGTGATTAATCCTAATTCCGTCTACGAGTGAGAAGAGGCGTCTTGTCATAAATAGGCTGATGATGTTTAGAAATGCATAGAGCATAGGTAAAGTATAGAGAAGTGGCGAAAAGGCTTAATTTTTTGATGGCCAGGATTTAACTTTCAAATAATAATAGATAATAAATTATTAGAATATATAGATGGTATTTAAATTAATTTTGTTTTTTCTTTAAAAGTTTAGTTTTTACTAACTAACAAACACTATGTCTCCTTCTATTGGATTGGATTGCTAAGGTACGATGACAACCAGTCAGATAAATTGTTTTGAAACGCCAGGAATAATAATTACAGAAATGTGACCTCATATTTTTTGCGTAAAATATAATAGTAATATCTCTTAAATATTCGAATACTGTTCTTTGTTCAGTTTCGACTGGGTCGTCATCCCCATGAGTCTTAATAGAACCAATAAATTGTAACACAACTTATCCCAAACACAGCCGGGGTTGCGGGGTAAGCGAAATGAGGCACCGCGACCTCGGCCCAGAGCAGGAGAAGGAACAGGGGGGTTTTTGGTCAGTAAGAGTCTGACACTTCCTCCCGCCCGGCCCTGGGCGGGAGAAGTCATTTGATGATTTTCCCCTCACAAAAAAAAACTTACCCCAAACAGCCCAAAGAGTAAAATTTTGCAAGCCAGAAAGCAAGCGGTAGATGTGATCCAAACACGGCTTTTCTTCTGAACTCCAGTTCTGATTCTTCATTGCAAAGATCACATCATCCAGGTACACACTACGTTCACCATCTTCCACTTTTTTTGAAGACTCAAATTTCTTTTCACTTATTTCCTGATTCCCCGTAAAATTTGACGGCAATCGTGTGGTCGTTATATCTCCTTCACCCACATTTTTAGCGTTAGTCACATTACACTTAGTGTTATTTACAAATACTAAAAAAATAACTAGAAATGTGTACTTCATTGTTTACAGTCTGTCACTCAATGAGCTGAAGCTTGGAAATTGCTGGCTTTACTTATAAAACAATAACATTGCATAATCAATGTCAGGCAATACTTTGTTGGCAATTACTAATTAGTTTCCATTGTAATCACGGCACATCCCATGGAATAAATTAGTATATGAACTCAAGACACGCCAAAGTGTTGGAAAATATTATATTTTTTTCTCTCAGCTTTGAATCAGTTGGTCCTAAACGACAGTTCTACACGATCTGATGCGACGTAATACATTAGGACGTATTTATCAAAAATCCGTCTTTGTTTGAAAGAGCCTGATAGGATAAAAAATAAAATCTTCGTGTTTTTATAATACATTGAGTGTTATTTTAAACACAGAAGTAATTGTATACGTATATTGTTATAGTAAAATTTGTATAAATATTCTGGGATTTTATACAAGAACGAGACGCAGTGCGAAAAACAAAACGTGGAAATAAAGGGAAAATAAAATTCACGCGAATTTTATTTTACGGTGCGGACGGGCTCTACCGGTAGTTTTAGTTTATTTATATTCATAAATATTGAATTCAAAATGTCACTTTTTTGTTATTTTTAACAAAAATAGGGATGGTTCATTTGAAATACATAATACACGGTACTTTATTGGTGGTATTATATTGCACTGGTTCCGTATTTTTTTACAGCAGGTAGAAACATCACCATAATTCAAATTCAAGAACGTACAGAGTCTCATTATCATTAAGTACACTTTTATTTTCAAGCCTACACTTCATAAAAAATGCTTACACATTGTTTCATATTTTATATTAATTAGGGATTGTTATTTAGGATTCAATAAGGATACTTTTTAACATGTTCTACTGTTTTTTTTAAATATTTATTATCAAACAGGTTTTTTTTTTTTTTTTTGTGAGGGGAAAATCATCAAATGACTTCTCCCGCCCAGGGCCGGGCAGGAGGGAGTGTCAGACTCTTACTGACTAAAAACCCCCCTGTTCCTTCTCCTGCTCTGTGCCGAGGTCGCGGTACCTCATTGCGCTTACCCCGCAACCCCGGCTGAACATCAGCCCTTTAGGGCCCCGTCTGTGGTGGTCTATTGGCTCTTTGAGGCGCGCGCGGAACGCTACGCGCCGTACGCTCGGGCCTGGTTCTGGTCGGGCGGCGAGCTGCCCTTACTCGCCGACCGCAGGCCCGTACTTACGGTGGCCGGAGATCGTCCCTCGATCCCCGACGCCCGTAGTGTCGCCAGTTGCGGCTGCTGGGGCGTGAGGAGGAGGATTGCTCCCTCACGCGGGCCGCCTCTCTCTTTGCGAGCATGACTGCTTCACAAAAGGAGGAGACGGCGTCCCAGTTCCTCTCACTCCGCACCATGGCCTCGACTAAGGCCGGGCGCGAGAGGTCGCCGCCGCCGATCACTTCCCTGAGGATACGGCGGTGCTCAGCCCAGGCAGGGCATACCGCTACCGTATGCTCCACCGTATCCTCTAGGTGGTCCTCACAATGACGACACTCGGGCGTTTCCTCCCGCTGAATCCGAAACAGGAACCTACCGAAGCTGCCGTGCCCGGTAAGCACCTGCGTCAGACGGAAGGTGAGGACGCCGTGGCGTCTCTCAAGCCACTCCTCAAAGAGGGGTCTTACCGCTGCTATGGTAGCGTGCCCGATTATCAAACAGGTTTGGGTCAAGATGATATGAAGAAGAAAAGAGCGGGGGCGCTAGTCAACTAATGAAATTTAAATATTATTTGAATAAATTACAAATAATTACAATTTATTTTCTATTTTGTTCTTTTGCATCCATTATAAGGGAAGGTTACCGTTTGCAGTCAAGGGCTAATTTTATAAAGTATAATTTATTACTATCATCTTATTTCATGATATTTATTTCCGGCAGGCCTCTTGAAGGACTAGCTATTTATTTTACGAATAAATAATTTGTTGACTTTAATTAATTGAATTGTCAACCCACGAGCGACGTTTGTTGAAGCCTCAATTATCAGCCCGGGTAAACATATTTAGGCTTGTAAGGTTTCCTAAAATTCTCAACAGATGGTATCGTAAGATTGCTCAGTAGATATAGTAATTACTAGCTATTCCCGCTGCTCGGCTGCATTTGATCGTAGCGTGATGTTTTATAGCCAGTTCAGTGAAAGAAATTTGGCAATCCGACCAGGCAACGGTTCCAAAGATTACCCCCTACATACACACTTACAAATTTTACCTCTTTATAATATTAGTATAGATGTAATTGTGCCTAGTATTTTAGGAAAATAGCCGGGCCTCCCGTGATATTGTATTCATAAGTCAATAACTTCCGCCCACGGCTTTGTCCGCGTGATAGTATGAAAAATGTAGCCTATGTCCTATTCCGGAGTGTATCCTATGCTTGTGCCAAATTTCATCTAAGATGATAACTGTGATAATAATATTCATAAATTTTAAAAAAGGAAACTACTTTTTTTTAGTTTATCCTTAATTGTATATTATGTAAAAAGCTGGATCCTTCACCCCCTGTCTCAATCCCTCCTTCACCAATACCTAAATCTGCGAGTCCCTATTACCCAAAAGGCGAGCAATACGTTTGCAACTCCTCTGGTCTTTCGGGTATCCATGGGCGGCGCCAATTGCTTACCATCAGGTAATAATACATTTGCATACGACATACCTAACCGTACAAAATGTTTTTTACATACGTCTCAGGTAACGACTAAATTTGTTATGCATCTAAAACCCACCTTAATTTAGGTGATACAGAGTTATATTATAAAAAAAAGCTAAAACTAAAGAAAGACGCCATCTATCAATAAAACATAAAAGTTATTGACTTTTACCCCTGTCCTGATATAAAATAGGGGTTGTGATCGCAGCTTACATAGTACGAGGGGTGTCTCTCAGCTTTGCTTTTAAGTCCATAGATGTCGTTAAACACATGGAGGCCTTATTACAAAACAAGCCATTGAGTCGGGTTTTGAATTTTGAATCTTATTGTAATCCACCTTCAACTCGAAATACGAAAACTGGCTCAATGGTTTAGTCCTAGACTAAAGTTAAACCTTGTTTTGTAATAAGGCCGATGAAGTTTACTTTTTCCGTCGTTATTGGATAAGTTTTGCACTCCATATGAAACTAAAATAAATTTTAATTATATCAAAAGGTCTGCTTTTAAATTGAGCTAACAATTAAATGTAAAATGAAACGTAATTTTTTTTCAAAATAATTGCACGAGTCTTACCTAATAGCACACAGCTTGGAATTGTGATCATTATTTTTTCGAGACTAATTTAAAACGCCATACCTTCCATAGCTCCTGCAAAACTCGTAAGCCAGGATCTACATGACTTATAACCATAAAAACTCGAAAAGACTGAAGACTGGTAATTGAAGCAATGGCTTTTCTTTTGAAGAGGAAAATCATGAAACAGGAAAATCATGTATTAGTGGCATTCGACGGATAGGGAATGGAACCCAAAATCTTGTGCTTGGAAGGTTTATATGCAACTGCTCAGTCATTAAGTCAACTAAACGACTATGCATACTCAACACCTTTGCTGTAATGAAACTAAATTTAAAAAAGTGCGAATGCGACTCAACATGAACGGTTCCCTAGTACATTAATGTATTTGCTATCCCAATTTTTTACTACGTAGTCTTAATGAAGTTTCAAGAAAACGCATAATATACTTGCCAAGTTTCAACAGTACCTACATTTAATATTGATTTGGGAAAAAGTTGCTGCCACGTACGAAGGTACGTAGGTACAGAAATATTAGCATTTAGCTTTTAGCTTTTTTTCCATTTGGGTACGCAACCCTTAAAATTATGGTCTGGTTGGTATGAGATGGCTTAGGTAATTAACTAAATGTAAACAATTTATCTATATATTTTAAAGTTATCTAAAACCTATATGTAAAAATGTTGACAGTCAAGTACTTACATAGGTCGATGTTATTACGAAAAATATTAGGTACTATATTACAAAAGATATCTCAAAAAAAACTTTAATATAAAAATAACATTGACTGCACGGTTGGCGCGGTGGCTGGGCAACTGGCTGCCGTGCGACGTGTCGCGGGTTCGATTCCCGCTCGGAACAACACTTTGTGTGATCCACAAATTGTTGTTTCGGGTCTGGGTGTCATGTGTATGTTTGTAAACGCACCCACGATACAGGAGAAAGTCCTAGTGTGGGGCAACGTTTTTTATAAAAAAAAAACAACCTTTACCTTTAGTCAACCACCAATAAACAATAGCAAAATAAGTAGGTAAAAAAAGAAACAAACAAAATTGTGATTTTCATAATTTATTAATTTCTCAATGTCTCATAAATATCTAACTACATACATAGATACATATAACTACATTTTTTCTACAATATCTTAAATTTACGTTTTTTTTGACAATCTAAGTAACATACATAGTGCGAACTACCTACTTATATCTATTATAAGGTACGAGAGTGCAGATTAAATACATCAATTCGAAATATATTATTATGATAAAATCTTAAAACTATAACTAGATTGAAACAATATTATTGAAATACAACGCTTTTTCTTTGAGAAGGAAAATCGGTACTTCTAGGATTTGTCCCACCCATTGTCAGACTCTTACTGACTAAAAACCGGCCCGTTCCTTCTCCCGTGGTATATTATTGCGTAATATTCCAATAATATAGTCATTTTTTTTATTTTAAATTATTATTTCCTTAAAACTACATATGTATCTACAATTTCAAATCTAGAATTTATTATTTTATTTTAAACGATGTGGTACAGTAGGTTGCAAACTTTTTTCACTGTTTTAAAACAACAATAGAAGAACAAACCATAGGTACTCGTACTTTGAGAAATCGATATACTTACACCAATGTGTATTCCAATTTTATTCAAATTATTGTAACCATGTTTATTTTTTTTTAGTTATTGTGTTATTATATGTATATTCACATCAAATGATGTAAACATTTTGGAAATGGAAACCCCGGAGGGAAACAAAGAAAAAGAATAGACAATTTATTTTACATTATTTTTCCCATATTTTATTTTTATAAAACATTTGAATTTGGAAATGGAACGTTAGAAGTCTCAACGTACTGTCGACGTACCATTTGCTAAAAGTAAACTACTAGTATTGTTGCCGGAAGAAAAGTAAAAAAATAAAAAAAAAAATACAGATATTATAAGTTATTACAATTTACCAATATTTTTTTACTTTTATTTCATTAACAATTTCAACTTTATTTTTCTATATTCGTAATATTTGTTTTTATAAATTGTTATTTGTATAATTAAATCTAATTAACACTTACGAAATAAATGCTACTTAAGAAGAAAATTAAACAAATCTTATGCAAAAATAAAAGGTATTAAAATAAATGTATTTATTATTTTCTGAAAACAACATACGCCATACGCAACGCAACATTACGCAATACTTAAAATAAAACCTAAAATATGTATGCCGTTTTTCTACATCATTGATCATAGATGCGCTATTCATTATTTTGTTGCAATCGTAAAGGAGAAGCAAAAATAAGTGCATTGCCATAATAAACCAAGTTTATATACTTAGTATATAAAATATGACTATGTAAAAATGTCTAAAATAAAAAGTAAATATTATTTATGTAGATTGAAAAATAATTACTCTTTGGTTATATAAAATAAGTGAAAATTAATTTAAATAAAAAATACTATTTAAAAATAATTCTTATATTATATTAGCGTTTTATTAATATTTACATCTTTGGAACGCGTTTCAATAAACACACTGACTAGACTTTACTCGTTGAGATAAATCTTTGTTTATAAATAAATTTATCTATCCTTAAAGTAATATATAATTTATATAAATTAATATACATTTCATTTTATGAAATAATTATTTAGTATAGTACAATACAATAAAGATATGAATAGAGCTACTATTATTTCTAAAACTATAATTATATTACTAATAAATCCTAAAATGAGAATCGGATTCATATTCGTATACAATTTTGAAAATAGAACTTTTATATAGGTAGTACCTAGTAGTATTATGATCATTAATTTTGTGTAACTGATATTCATAAGGTTTTTAATAATAATATTTAAACAAAATGATATTAAATAAAATAAAATGTTGGTGAAATTGAATGTAATGGAAAAGTAATATTTATTAAAAGTAAATTATTGTAAAAACATTCCTGTCAAAATAATTATGATTATTGTTTAAATTTTGGCGTCAGTATTGGCATTATTTCCGTTAACATTTTTTTTTATCGTAACATCCAAAGGACACCGGATCATCGACTTGGTTTTAAATTTATGTTGGCTATTATTTTAGCATTCTTTTTATTTTTCGTTTTAGTATTCGAATGTGGGGTATCAGTTATGGCGCCATAAAATATTAAGACAACAAATATTTTAGTATTTTTTTATATATTTTTTTGTTTTTTTTTATACTTATGAGGTTTGATTGACTAGATTTGTATATAGAGATCTTAAGTTACTATTTGGTATTATTTCTGACTAGATTTTTTTAAACTCTTGACTAGATGCATACTTAATTATAACTTATGTAGTTCTGACTAGATTACACGGAATATTGACTAGATTTTTAAAATTTTTGGTAATTGAATTCGTACATTTAAATCGACTTAAATAACAATATATGCTATATTAAAATTAAAAAGCTAAAAATGACTTCGTTTGACTAGAAAACGTTTGTAAAGACTAGATTGCATTCAATTATATATTTTTTTGTAAATTTAAAATGTTTCCTATATTCTAAAATGACTAGAAATTCTTGACTACGTAGTTGTATTGAGACCAATATTAATTATACTTAAATAAATGACAACATAAAATATAAGTAATTAATTGACTAGAAAAAAAAGAACAAAAAGAATTTGATATATACATTTGAGACATACATCGATTTGCGCTAATCCACGCACGATTGTCTATAAAGGTACAAACTAAAATAAAAATGACTAGAATACTGACTAAAGACTTTGACTTGACTAATTTATATTAATACGACTAAAATAAAATACGCGATAAATAATATTTCTTATACCTAAGTACTATGAGATCAGAGCGTGCGAATGACAAAAAAAATGTTAATTTACGATCAACGAAAATGTATTTTTTTGTTATTTTAATATATTTGTATTTTAATGTATTTGTTATGCAAAATTCGTTTTGCCTTAATCATTATGACGTAGATGCGGCATTAGTTATTATTTTCCAATACAGTATTGTTACTACATAATAATTTAAGACTTTGATATATCCCCGACTGGAAGAATGGTTTTGTTTTTCAACAACAAACCCGTTCATCTTGTTTAAAGTGTGGCCTACTGCGATTGTTTTTTATTCAAAGTGAACAAAAAAAGTAACTGGGCAATAGACTCATTTAGTAAGCATTCGAATCGCGTAAAGTTATAAACAACTACTACCTATTGTATTTGAATTTAGTTCACAAAATGTTATTTATTAATATGCGATTAGGATGACTAGATAGATATTTTCATTCATTCTCGTGTCCGAGTTATATGTGGTGTAAACAAAAAAAAAATTAAGCTGTTTTGTTAGGTGAAAAACATTAAATTTTTTGCTTTATATTTTCAATGTTAACGATGTATCGATATAAACAGTAATGGTAATCGAATAATTCCAAATCGTATTGCTTCACGGCTTGAAGACGTCCCAGTTACGTGGTGGACTCAATTCCTATGAATTGTTCACTTTGAAATAATAATGAGGGCTTGTGGCACGGTGGTAGACTGCCGTAGTAGCCGCTGCATCTAAAAATATGCTCATGCAGCGATCGATGACGGTGACCCTTTGACAGTTAACGAATGGACGAACCTAATGCCAATACTATCATACCAGAACCAACATAACCTATAAAATAATTTTTATAGAATAAATTTCAAATTTATGAATCCTAGAAATATTATTTAATATATTTTAAAATCTTATTTTACGACTACCTTCTAAACTAATAAATAAATTACATTTTATTTTTATTTAAAAAAAACGTTACACGCATAATGTTTGACATTTACGTGGTTTAATCGGTTTGGAATGTGCTGCAGGAGATCATAAATATTTACAATATATTCCTAGAACCTAAAACACACATCACACCTATATACAAAGAATATACAGACATTTATGTTATGATATTATTTTATTATCTATATGCTACGTTAAAATGATGATATGATTAATTGAATTACTAAAAAGAGGGTCCAAAAGAATATTTTATGGATAGAGAATGTTGTTCTATTAATTCATGAGCACATTACTTTTGTATTCGGGTAACAAAATCCACTTCCAAGGTCACCTGGTCGTGAGGACTTACCCGTTTAAGAGAAATACATGTGCGCATCATGCGCGTACGGAGCGGAGTAGGGATACAGGGCAGTGGCGACCGGTGCATACGGTGGAAGCCGCGGCACGGGTCGCAGGACCCTCCGTCACCCATCCATAACCCCCCCGCCTCCTCCTTCATCCTCAGAACCCGTCACATCAAGACTCCGAGAGTCCTCTGAAGAACAAGACGATCCACATCTAGGACGCACGCCCTCCCAGCTCAGCTCATGTTGAGGAGCCGGGATTTTGTTCCAGAAGTTATTGAAGCCGGTCTCTCGGATTACGTCCTGATTAAATATTATTATATAAGTTAGATTTCTAGACGAATTTAAAGAAGAAGCTCATTATTTTCTGTCTTTTGGTTTGGTTAACTCACCGGTTGGTAGGTTGGATATTCAGCGTGAACCTGCCGAAAAGCAGAAGGTTCCTTCTCAGGCTCATTTTCCGGCTGCTCGTGGGCCAGCATGTGCTTCCTTAGGTAAGCTTGTCTTCGGAACATCTTGCCACACCTCTGGCAAGGGAAACGACCTGAATCAGCCGCAGTTGGCTCACGGCGTTTCACTGTGCCGGCCACGCGGGGTTTATGCCAGCGGCGGTGAGATGCTAAGTTAGCAGGGCAATTGAACACCTAGACAATAAAGAAACAAAAAGTTTCAAATCCTGTTATAATTAAAAAAAAACAATTATGTTACTATAGCAACACTCGCGCCGTTTTACCGGCTCCATTTGATCGTAGCGTGATGTTTTATAACCTAAAGCCCTCAGGAACATAGTAGCTATATATCAGTGAAAGAACTTTAGAAATCCGACCAGCAGTTTCAAGGATTACCCCCTACATATAAACTTACAAATTACAAATTTTATCTCTCTATAATATTAGTAAAGACAAAGATACACGTGAATATTTTACAAATTGTCCATTGATAGATAAGTGCTAATATTCTCCCGTCACGCATCAATGCACGGCTCAATTAACGGATGCCCTTGTACAAACATTTCGTGTCACCACTTGTGCCGGCTTCCCATGGAAATATGCCAAGTGTGCGCAACCCTCGCACCCATGTTCCCACGAATAAAAAAACACACAGAATTATGGACCACCTATCTAATAAGAGTGATAAATGCAATTTAATTAATACACGACAAATGTATTGGGATACCATAAATAGGAGGGTCTTTAGTTATCAATTTGAATTCAATAAAATTTCACGTGGGAATGTTATTTGATAAAAACAATGTACAGGTCTAAACGGTCTACGATGGTTTAGTGGTTAAATGGAATGTCAAATATTTTTGAGTAAATTACCTTGTCGCACTCGGGACATCGATATTCAATGTGCACGATTCGAGAGCACCGATGTTGCGCCAACGCAAAGGCGTCGCTGTACAGGCGTCGACACAGCCTGCAGATGTACCGGCCCAGCCTGTTCTCTATCGCAGCTATCAAAGCTTTCGCCTCGTCAGTCACTTCCACCACGTTAAACGCTGGATCAATGTCTCCCTAGAAAAAGTACAATTATGAGCATGCAAGCCAACATTCACTACTAAAACGATTTCTTATCACACCATCAATTACGACTATTAAGTAATTGCATGTTATTAGCAACTTTATTACGTCTAAATAGAACGTTACAGATCTCTATCTCAATCCGAAGGAAATATACAGTAGTATTGAAATGGCGATTTATTTTGTATTTAATGTGGTCGGGCCCACCCCTGCAGTGAGCGTTGCGGTGCGCCCTTAGACCTGTTATTAGTGCAAAACACAGCACAATACCCGATTTCGTACCTGTTTAATTGCTAAAGCGATAAGGAAAGTCGCCGTGCAGCGCTGTAATGGTATGGTAAGAACGTCTAATTAATAGTTCCTGTGCAACTTTGCCATTTATTTTAGATACGTATGTGTGATTAGACTTTGTTTGCAGTTGTGGGGAACTTTTTTCCTATATCGACTAAACGATGTAAGCGGAGTTGTTATTATGAATTACCTTTCGAACGACCAGAGTTTCATCTTCAGCCAGGTCTCGTATAATAGTGCCAGATACGGGAGACGTTTTATCCTCGTCAAACATGAGCCTTCTAACAGCTTTGCTCTTTTTAGTCGGTTGCTGAGGTGGTTTCGGAGACTTTTTAGGTCTTTCTTCTAAATCCTTAATCTCGACGACGTCTGGTGAGCTTCTGCCACTTTTCGATGGTGTCGTCTCTTCTTCTTGTGGCAAACATGTTTTGAGTTCTTCAAAAAACTGTTGGGTGAACTTTAGTTTCTTGACTTCAGGACTATCGCTGTCGTTAGAATTTTCATCGTCTATTTTTCGCTTATCTGTTTTATCTTGTGATTCTTCTTTGGTATCATTGTCTTCAAAATGGCGAAATATTTTAGGGGATTTGTCCGGTTTGTTGTCGTCGACTGCTTTTCTTTTTTGTAAGGGTGGCGGCGTGCACGGAGGGGTGATCGGTGTAGTGGATTTGAGGGACAAGTCAAGGGGCACTAGAGGTTCGTTATAGTAAGCCAAATATTGCTGGAGGAGGGTCGGATGCTGTTGGGGAATGAGGTCGTGGAGGTAGTTGCTGGAGATGCGGACTGGTGGAGCTGCATACTGCTGGTAAAACCGTGATGACGTCAGCCGGTGAAAATGTGGCAAAGCAGCCTCCATGTTCAAATGTTAAGGTAATAAATTTTCTGTTCACTGATTTTCGTAGTCATTTTGATTTTGTTCACTTTTTTCTTTCAAACTATTCGACATTTTTGTCAAACCTGCAAAGATGAAAGGTTGTTTATTTATGTGCTGATAGAATGAACATTAATAAAGTAAAGTGTAGTTCGGATTGTTCAAGGGTCCGGTAAAAGGCACAAAAGGCGAGGCGCTGATTCAATTGTGGTCGAGTGGTCCATTGATTGTAACGACTGGGAGACGACGACGACGACGATGTGTTTTGAGAAATTGGTTCTCACTAGTTTCGCCCACATTTAAGATAGGAGAGCGTTAAGAAAATGTGTGTTTCTTTTAGCTGACAAGTTTTCGCTAAATGAGAATGTTATCTCGCCATAAAAATATTTAGGACATTTCAAATCTCAACGACTTTAAGTGTCACATCGCGGCCTTGGCCCGAAGCAGTTGAAAGAACGAGGTGGTTATTAGTCAGTAAGAGTCTGACACTCTCTCTTGCCTTAACCTGGGCGAAAGAAGACATATAATAATTTTCTACCCTCAAATAAAGATCCAAAAAATAGGTCATATCCATAATAGAATCTCGCGAGCAACCTTGATTTAAACATTTATCATTATTTTATCTATATACCTAATATTAATATACAAAAAAGTTTATAATCGAAGTAGCAACTAGAATAAACCTATTTTATTTTATAACTAATCGTTTATTTAAATATTTTTGTAGGCAACTCGCATTGGACATTGCAGTACAACATGTAAGTTCCGTCAGGTCTTGCACGCAGCCTATTCGGAATGTTTATTGGTAATAATTTTTACTACTCGCTTTCATGCAATTCTGCTAATATATTAAAAGTGAAATAATATTAAAAACTTGTACTTGTACTTGATACTGCCATAGTAGTATAATCTTGATTAGCGTTCATTTGTTCCATAATTAACTTTTATAGTGACCTTTGATGTATTTATGAAGTCTTTCGTACAGATTTTTTGTATGTATGAGTTTATTTTTGTAATTAATTTCTACACACTTAGTTCTGTAGTATAAGTACTTAATCAGTTTTTAGAACTTTTACCGTCTACAAATTAAACACTATAGTGTCATATGTAATTTCATAGAAACGCTTTTTATAAATGACGCTATAGGTATTAATTGCGGCTGGACCTAGCGGACGGTTCTAGCTAGCTCATCTATTAGACAACCACAGATGGGATCTACAAGGGGACAAGCGCAAGAGTATATTGCGGTCCTGGTGTAGACACAGACCTCAATAGTTTCAAGTCGCTTCCAAACTGCTTTACAGTTTAGCAGAAGTAATATTTTGTAAATTTGCTGTCACTATGAATAAACGCTTTTCCATTTCATTCATAGTGAGTAGCATTACTGTTAAGGTTTGGTAGTTCTACAAGTTAATAATCCAACCTTATTGACATGTTAATCACGGAGTAGGTTACCGGTGATTTAAGGTGGCGGAGGATCTGCATTTAACAGTATTCTGTTGACAAATAAAAGCTTATACATATTTTTCTTCGCTTATAAATTCCTTAACACGTAAACCGCCGCGTAGGTCACCGGTGACCTACGGTAGCGGAGGATTAGCCTTCAATAGTTTTCGGTCGGCAGTCAAAGGCTTAACAAATAGATGACTTTTGTACTGACATCAAAATTCGCAAAGATTACACGGATTAGGCACGACAAACACTAATCCTCGTCTAGTTCACAATCAAGGGGTGTCGCGCATGCAATGTTACCTAATTACTGTCAACGGGGCGCTCCCACGCTCGTGGCAGCCCTACCGAGGGTGTACTACCCTCTCCTTTTAATACATTTCATTGTTTGGTTTGAGCAAATACACTGAATATGTTTGTGGCAACGAATGTTTTGGTTGCTATCACTTATTTCAGTTTAGATGTTGTTTATAAAGCACCTATAGTTGGGGGACTGCTAATTTATCGCGAAATATTTTTAGTTTATTTTTTTATTGCTATTTTTATTTAGTAAGGATTTTTAAATAGTTTGCTAAACAATTAGTCTATTTTGTAAATTATGTTCTTTTATGTGTTTTAAATTTAGTAGCGTACGTCAAACAGCCTTTAATATTATGCCTTATATTGCATATTGACTGAATCCTATTTTTGTTCCAATTCTGCTAACAATGGCAAACAATACACGACTATATCTTTTATAGTTTACTTTATTGTAAACCATATCGTTACATAGAATAACTTACAACAATTTTATGACATTACATGTATTGTATATATAACCATGTATATATAACCATTTACCAATTTCAATATTACAGATCGATGATATTAATAAATTTAAAAATAGTATCAAAACACTGTTACTAGAAAAAGCATATTACTCTGTCACTGAATATTTAGAGGATAATTTTATGTAATTTGAGACATATATTAATTAATTTATGTTTTGTTTCTTTTTCTTTTAAAGACTAATTTAATTAATTGTTTTAAATTTTTATATTTTGTAAATTTGCATGCCTTATGGTAGGATATGGCTAATGGACATTTTGTTTATAAGACCTTTTATTTTGTACCCATTTTCGCAATGAATTCGCAATGATTATGATTATGATTATGATTATGTATTCACACTAACGTACACAATGATCCATTACAATATTGTGTATGTAAATTTTTCTAACTTCTTTTTATTACAATTCCCTATTTTAATCAACTGACAATAAACTATACCAAATGTCTTGCATCCACAGTTATACTAAAGCGAATATTTTTTGCATGAATGTGACCGAAACTCAGCCCCTAATACACATGCCTAGTCGGGGACCACATATATTAAGTATATTCATGTATGTACCAACGCCAGCAATCCTAGTTACTAACAACAGTTTATCCAAATGTAAATAGCTTTAGTAAGCTTTAGTAATTAATGTATGCCTAATTGTAACTAGTGGCCTAATAACGAGTGAATAATAGGTTGCTAATAGGTATGCATGCTTCGTAGTAGGTCGCAACATCACTTACTACGGCGAGAAAGCGACCAAATGCCTGCCCATTGTGAAATAAAAAAAAATAATATTAATTAATACTTTATACGCTACTCACACCAGCTCCGAACGCGTATCATATTGATACTAAATTTCTCTACTATTTTATAGATGTTTTTATACATACCTATATAAACCTTCCACTTCAATCATTCTGTCGATTAAAAAAAATGCATCATAATCCGTTGCGTAGTTTTAAAAATTTAAGCATACAAAGGGATATAGGGACAGAGAAAGCGACTTTGTTTTATACTATGTAGTGATTGTATACTCAAGGAAATCTATACAGACAACTTTTGGATGAAGCTGTAAAAAGAGTTTGAAATATGGATCGTCCAGTCTACTGAATACTATTAAAAGTATAATTATCACCAATACTAACATTAACTTTTTAATGTTTAATTATTATTACCTAATAAACACTTAAACATATCCACTGTTCCAATCAATCAATCAATATAGCGTTAACAAAGATAATTCACAATAAATTTGTGACTATTATAAAATGTTGCGCGAATTTAATATAGTGCATTTGTGGTCGGCCCCCGGGTCCCGTACTCGACAGATTCGGGAGGCTTGTTATGGGCGGCCAGGAGGCGGGGTTTGCGTTGTGTTATGACTACCGTAAATATATTTATGATAATGGTTATATGTGTTGCAATCAATTAATTAAAATGCTTAGTATCTACTTCTGTAGGTTTAAAAAAGGTTCATTTATTTGAGGCTCAGCTAATAAAAAGTTTATCCGATTGAAATCATTAAACATTATTAACATTTTCAAATTACTTTTTAGATTTAAGTGTGTTAGCCGCCCTTACAGGGTGATGTACCGTATAGATTTCATGGGATTTAAATACTTCTGTGTAAATAAACTTATATTAATATCGTCAAGCCAATGAGGACATTTTTTATATTTTATTTGTTTGAATTGAATGGGCTCCAAAACTACATGGCCGATTAGAAAAACTCGTTTATTGTTTGGAAAGCTACACTATCTTCGGTGAACATAGGCCATAAGATGAGCGAAATACGTAAGTATTGCAATTTTGTTTCTATAAATGACATAAAAAAGCTACTTGACGCTACGCAACTTTAGACATATATTTGTAACATTTTAAACATTTGGTGATTATGATTTAATTGCTCAAAAATATATACATAGAAACCTATACAAGAACCCCAGAAGCTAAAACCCCTTAAGACTCGAAATACAGTAAAAGACACGAGGAATTTTCAAACAAGCTGTCTATTAATCAGCTACTGAATTAATAAAATCATTACAAGTACAAAATAGACCGTATGAATACCTAATATAAAACAAATCCGATACTAATTACATATTGGTGAAGAGCATTTCCCTATAATATTAATACTAGGAGTATTACTACGAGTAATAATTATCATGTTACGTTGGTCGTGAATACTTGAGTATCTGTCCTTAGTTATTAGGGCGTGTTCACACGGTCACTTCGAGGTGTCAATCTAATTACAGATAATTAATAGCTGTTCACACTATCTGTCAGTGTAACACTGGTTTTATTTAAGTGTAAAATGAAATTGATTTCGTTTAATTAATATGTAAGTAGTATAAGTGGTAATTATTGTGTACTGATAGTGTTATTAGTTTTAGTTATAATAGTGTAGTTGTAAAAGTTGTTTGCCTGTTGACTTCTGTTCGATATTTAAAAAATTTTATTGTCCGACTTTATTTAATATCGCCGTTTTTTGTTTAAGAATTAATATTGATTACGATCGTAGGGAGAACTGGAAAACAACACGCATTCTTAAAGTATATTCCTAACCGTCATTTTGTATAGACAGTAAGCATAGCGATGCAATTTTTATAGTAAATCTTAAATTATAAGCACTTCAAAAATAATACACACTCCGCCATTCTCTAATTGACCAAGTTTTCTTTAGTACAAACATTTTACACAATAACTAAAATACATA